GCCATTCTCCTGCCTCAGCCGCCCAAGTAGCTGGGACTACAGGCACCCGTCACCACGGCTGGCTAATTTTTCGTACTTTTAGTAGAGAAGGGGTTTCACTGTGTTAGCCAGGATGGTCTTGATCTCCTGACCTTGTGGCCCACCTTGGCCTCCCAAAGTTCTGGGATTACAGGCGTGAGCCACCGTGCCCGGCCACAAGCTGTTTCTTAACTAAGCTTCCGAAGCAGGAACTCCTCAAGTGTTAACAGGCAGTTTTACTTACAGTAGTAGTTATATGCTAATGCTGTTTGCAGAATTTATTTTCTCTTTAGCGTTCGCAGAAGTACTACCACATGGAGACAAAACAAAATAGTAAAAATAGTATAGGTAGTAAAAAGGCCAACACCAAGAAATTTGGGGCCATAACATTATAAAAGGTTGAAAATATACTTTACATATTTGCTAAAAAAATTAAGTCTAGTACTGCCTTAATGCTTGGTTCCTCTATCATTAAATGGCATTTCATTCAGTATATGCTGAACTCTTAGATCAACTTACTACTGAATACAAAGCTAAGCAAACCTAGACATTTTAGCTGCTGCCACCGTATATTATCACAGTACATAAGGAATCTGTTCTATCAGCATTACTTAGGTATCCTCACTCCTAATAGGCAGAAAGCAGTTTTGAAGTAAAGTTAAATTCCTCACTTGTTAAACACAGCAGACTTTCAAGCGTTGGACAAGACTTAAACCACTTCCTTTAAACATGTTCATAAAGCATTTTGAGAAATCAAGAGATGAAAGGCGCTATGTAAGTACAAAATATTCAAGACAGTTTAGCAAAAGTGCTACTTTTCTATGATGATGGAATGGTTGTGCTAGTCTGAGGGGAACACCTCCTGAGGCTACTGTTCTTGCTGTCATTATTAACAGAACAATGGAATTTTGACAAAGATGCCATCACTTCATATAATTTTTATTTGGCTAACTACTTTCTATTAACCAGGTGACAGAAAATGAAATTAAGCCACTTATTCCACATAAACCAATACTTTATCAAAGTTCCGCATTTTACAAGTCATGTTCAAAAAACACACACAAATTAGCATTTTGTACACAAATGTTTATTTCTCAATTAAACATTCCCTTTAAACACAAGGAATGAGTTCTAAATCTTCATAAAGATGAATTAAAAATGAAATCCCTCCAGTATAGTGTATGTAATCACTGTGTTCTTGGTCACTACTGGCATTTACTGCTTAACATCAAAAACAAAGACAGGTTATTTAAAAATCATGCTACTGGATTTCTAGCTCTTCCTCTATGACCAGTTCTACACTGATCTGCAATGTTTAAAAGTTTACATCACCAAATCAAAGCAAGTTTAAGGTGTGAAGTAGCTGTGCATTAAACACAAAATAAACAATAAAATTATAAGATATAGTCAAGTTCATAACGAATATAGGTGTTCTTATCATCGTTGTAGATTCTTGGGTAATGTGCTATGAGAGCATCCTGGGAACCAATGTAGATGGAGTTGTAAATTTTCCAATATACATCTCTGACTTTCCGGGCTGGGTGAAACAGACCCTAAAATAATATTGAACAGTTACATTATTTCAATTTTCAAGAACACACATAACCTTAACAAAATTAACAAATCATAAAGATATGATTCAAAATTATTTCCCTTGGGGAGTGGGGGGGGCCTAGTAATTATACAAAGCTAAAATGGAAGAGACAAAACGCACTCCCCCGTCACCACACAATTGTTCTACCATATGGCACAATATACCCTGTTGATAATCAGGAAAAGTAACTTAATTCAACACACTACTTTTCTTGCTAAGTAATCTTTTAAAAACCTTTAACTTACAGGGAGTGGGGGGAAAGGGGAAGGAGAGCATTAGGACAAACACCTAATGCACGTGGGGCTTAAAACCTAGATGATGGGTTGATACGTGCAGCAAACCACCATGCCACATGTATACCTATGTAACAAACCTGCACATTCAGCACATGTATCCCAGAACTTAAAGTATTATTAAAAAAAAAAAAAATTCACCGATTAAAAAAAAAACAACTTTAACTTACCTGTAAACAATACTGCAACATTCTACATGGTCCAATAGCAACTCTCAGACCCTCTAGGGCTCCCATAACTGCCTGAATTACATGAGGAGATGTCTCAAACACATTGGGCCATACATAGTTCAACAAGTGATTCAGTGAATCTTCACAACCAAATCCATAAACCCCAAGTGACATGTGCTGTACCACTGCACTAGCCGTCTGTCTGTGTACAAGGTCTCTATAAGGGAAGGGAAAAAAGTCCTTTAAGATACAGTCTTATAAGAACGGGGAAAAAATCCTTCAAGATATGGTCTTAGTTTTACAGGAAATATTCACCTGCCCATTGGAAACGAAATTACTAATTCAGTGCACTGAATAGATGTGAAGTCATCCTAACATTTCGTGTGTCTAATATATCCTTTAGAATAACTAATGCTTCCACTTGAGAACTTTTGCTTTAATGACTCAAGCTTCACTATGGCTCAACAATTAAGCCATATTTTCTAATTAACTTTTTTTTTTTTTGAGACAGAGTCTCACTCTGTCGCCCAGGCTGGAGTGCAGTGGTGTGATCTTGGCTCACTGCAACCTCTGCCTCCCAGGTTCAAGCAATTCTCCTGCCTCAGCCTCCTGAGTAGCTGGAATTACAGGTGTGTGCCACCATGCCCAGCTAATTTTTGAATTTTTAGTAGAGATGGGGTTTCGCCATGTCGGCCAGGATGGGCTTGATCTCTTGACATTGTGATCTGCCCGCCTCAGCCTCCCAAAGTACTGGGATTACAGGCGTGAGCCACCGCGTCTAGCCTTCTAATTAACTTTTAAAAGGAATATGAGCAGGAGGGCTCTGTGAAGTCTTGGCTTTATTATGCTATTAAAGAGGAGGTATGTGATTCTAATGTATGAATAATAAACGGTAGTATCTTAAACTTTTTTCTCTTTTTTAAAATTACTTTTCAGGCTGGGCATGGTGGCTCATGCCTATAATCCCAGCACTTTGGGAGGCCGAGACAGGTGAATCACCTGAGGTCAGGAGTTCTAGACCAGCCTGGCCAACATGGCGAAACCCCGTCTCTACTAAACATACAAAAATTAGTCAGGCGTTCTGGCGCACGCCTGTAATCCCAGCTACTCGGGAGGCTGAGGCAGGAGAATCACTTGAACCTGGGGGGCGGAGGTTGCAGTGAGCCAAGATCGTGCTGCTGCACTCCAGCCTAGGCAACAAGAGCGAAACTCTGTCTCAAAAAAAAAAAAGAAAAAAGAAAAATTATTTTTAAAAATGTTTATTGTTAGAGATATGGAGGGCCTCGCTATGTTGCCCAAGCTGATCTTGAGCTCCTGGGGTCGAGTGATCCTCCCACCTTGGCCTCCCAAATCATTTTAAACTCTTGATTATAAACTTAAATCTTTATTAGTACTTCAGATACTGGTAAATAATAGGTAACTAAATTAAAATTAAATTCCCTTCTCACGTAAAGTTTAAGTTTCAATAACTCAATCTGGGGAGAGGAAGATCAACAATTTTTTCAAACCTACAGAAGTAACTATCATCTCCTATGTTAACTGAGTTTATGTTCATGAAAAATCAATCAGTTATTCATTCCACAATTATTCAACCAAGTATGAGCTCACTGGCTAACACACTGGGATTTGCAACGGGTATGAAAATGAGTTTCCAGGCCAGGCATAGTGGCTCATGCCTGTAATCCCAGAACTTTGGGAGGCCAAGGCCGGTGGATCACAAGGTCAGGAGATAGAGACCATCCTGGCTAACATGGTGAAACCCTATCTCTGCCAAAAATACAAAAAATTAGCTGGGCACGGTGGCACATGCCTGTAGTCCCAGCTACTTGGGAGCTGAGGCAGGAGAATCACTTGAACCTGGGAGGCAGAAGCTGCAGTGAGTCGAGATCGTGCCACTGTACTCCAGCCTGGGCGACAAAGCGAAAGTCCGTCTAAAAAACAAAATGAGTTTCCACACTTTGCTCCAAAGATAGTAACACAGACCATATCAAAAGAGAAAAATACCTGTATTTACTAATATTCTTGTTTTTCTTATTTATTTTAATAATGTCATTCAGCATAAGAATGAAGCAGTATTCCTCATTAATAAAATTTCCACCTGAAGTATTCTTTTCATTTAGTAATTTTCAATGGAATTACTCCCTCCACTTCTTAGTACACAGAACAAAGTTTTTAACTGCAGGTGACATACATTAATGACTGCACTATGGTCCTCATGCACTTCTCACTGAGGAATATGGAGCAAGGGTGATTTACCCTCATTTTTTTTAGCCCTGGGCAGCCAGGCTTTTACAGAGCACAATTCTTACTTTGCCTCCATGTCTTGCATATACACTTTCTGGTGACTTGTCAAGTCCAGTTAAGTCTCCCTTTCAGAAGGTTATTAATGAATAACTTTAATCTGTACACAAAAGTATGTGAATGGGCTCTGATTTGAGTAACTTCTCTCTCCTGAAAAATAAGGAGCCAGTGAAACAGTTCTTTCCCTTACTATGTCTGCACTTTCCTTTGCACTTTCTTCAGTTACTTCTGTGTTTAAGGCTGTGCATCAGTCTAGATGGTAAAAGGTATTAGCAATCTGTCAAATAACTCGAACAGTACTGTACTGGTGGTCACTATCTGAAACACCAGGGACCTGCAATAGGAAGAGTGTAGCTCTGGCAGGCTATGTTCAGTAATTCAAAGGCTTAAGAGAAACCTATCCTTTACCTGCAATAAAAAGCTAAAAAGATCAGGTCTCTGCCACACTGATTAGCTCCTGCTCATCATGTCCTCTAACTATATTTGACCAATTTTGAAAACAAAAGATTATCAATCAACCCTTTTCAAAATGTATTTAGTTCAACAGATATGAAGAGATTTAAAGGGGGTGGGGGAACTTGAAAGAAAGTCTGGGGAATCACTACAGTGTGCACATTATTTTAAAATAATAAGTCATATTTACGATGTCCAAAGACTCCAGGCTAGCATTTTTTTCTTTAACTACATTACAGTAAAATGTCATCTAATAACTATTTCAGGATATTCTAAAATGAAGGAAGAGTTATAATTATTTTCTTGTCATCAGTTCAAGTCACTTACCTATCCATTAAAGCATCTTCAAGTAACGGTGTTACAGCATAAATGTAGTCTTTTCCCATTTCACCAATATATTCAAACAAGAAGGAAAGTGACTTTAACACTCCATTTTGAACATTCAGTTCAGGAACTCTGTATTCATTCATTAAGGCAGGGAGTACTGTGAAGGGTGAACATGTTTCCGCAACAATAGCTATTGCTACAGTGGTACAAACTCTGTTCTGCCTTTCTTGAACTTTGAGGTTGTTTAGAAGTGTAGCCAATACATCATGAGGGCTGAAAAAAAAAATGGGTCAACAAGCTGTTACATTATAAGTCAAAAATTTATGGAAGAAAAAAATGCATAAAGATGAAAACTTTTAAATATTAATAATTACAGGGAACTCAGTAATTTTATAAAACACAATACTTCCAAGTCACTGGCATTGTTTCTACATTAAAATTTCATATAAATTAAAAGGTCAGTTTAAAAAAGTTAACTCTGAGAAGATCAGAGGTCACAGCTGTACAAATTTTAAAAATTTTGGCCAGATGCAGTGGCTCACGCTTGCAATCCCAGTACTCTGGGAGGCCGAGGCAGGCGGATCACGAGGTCAGGAGTTCGAGACCAACCTGGCCAACATAGTGAAACTCCGTCTCTACTAAAGACACAAAAATTAGCCGAGTGTGGTGGCACACGCCTGTAGTCCCAGCTACTTGGGAGGCTGAGGTGGGAGAACCACTTGAACCTGGGAGGCAGAGGTTGCAGTGAGCTGAGACAATGCCATTGCACTCCAGCCTGCGTGACAGAGTGACACTCCTCAAAAAAAAAAAAAAAAAAGTAAGTTAACTCAAATTAATTTTCATATGTAATTTTCAGTTTTTAAACTTTCTGAAATATAAAGAAATTTAACTAACTGTTTAAAGTGAGTAATTCTGAGTTGTCAAAATGGGCACTAGAACTAGGTAGGAGTGGTGAGGGGAATATCTAAATTGTGGTCTCCCATTATAAACCATATAAAATCTCTTTTCTTTTATCTTCCCTCCCACACAATCTGCTGCATCTATTTGCCTCTTCTTTGACATAAACTTAGAGGGACATTGGGGCTAAAAGCTTGCACGACAGCTATTCACTATAAATTTCTTGACTCCATCACCACTGAAATAAATATTATGCTACCAAAATAGGAGAGAAATTAGTGTGTGTTAGGGGAGGGGGTGTGGTCTGGTTAATTCTACCTAATTAATCAGACGTTCACATGTCATATTCCTTGAACACATTTTCTTAAGCCACATGGACATGTGGTGCCTCGTTTTCTATAATGACTTTTTTCCTACTTTAGTTGTGATGGAATGGAAGCAAACCACCATAGATTATCTCACAAAGCAGCTATAATTCAGTTAAATCCGTGGAGTAATGTTAGAATAGCATTTTTGTTGGTTTTTTTTAGAGACAGGGTCTCGCCCTGTTGCCCAGGTTGGAGTACACTGGCACAATCACAGCTCACTGTAACCTTAAACTCCTGAGCTCAAACAATCCATAATACAACTTTTAAAACACATAAAGCATTAATATGAGACTTAAATGATGCTGTGAGACTAAAAATTTGCCTTAATAGTTTAAGCAATACCCTAAAAGACCAGTACACATTTTGTATTTTTCTGAAAATGGTACTGTTTCCCTCCCTGAAAACACCTAAAGTATAATTAAAGTAAATCTTAAACCCTTCCATCTATTTTAATTCAATTAAGAATTTAAGACTACAGGCTGGGTGTGGTGGCTCATGCCTGTAATCTCAGCACTTCTGGAGGCCAAGATAGGTGGCTCACTTGAGGTCAGGAGTTCGAGAACAGCCTGGCCCACATGGTGAAACCTCATCTGTACTAAAAAATACAAAAATTACCTGGGCGTGATGGCGCATGCCTATAGTCCCAGCTACTGGGGAGGGTGAGGCAGGAGAATCTCCTGAACCCGGGAGGTGGTGGTGGGTGCAGTGAGCTGAAATCAAATCACTGCATTCCAGCCTGGGTGACAGAGCAAGACTCCGTCTCAAAAAAAAAAAAACAAATTGAATTTAAGAATACATTCCAAAAATCAGAAGGTCAATGGTTAAATGAAGAGCTTTCTCAACTGCATTATTCAGACCATGCCCATGCCTCAAAAGAGATTTCTACATGAAGTACTTTTCAACACCACAACGAATTTATTATAATTTTTTTTTTTTAATGGAAGTAAGTGACACTCACCCAATGGCCTTTGCAATATAACCAAATGTGTTGACTGTGGCTCTACGAATAGCCTTTTTGTGGGCTTTTAAGAGCTCTAAAAGCTCAAAGCAAATCCTCATCCACTCTCTTGCAGACACATATTCAGCTCCCCTAATTTAAAAAATACACATATTATTTGTGACATTAGGAAAAGTTTTAAGGATAAATTTGCAAATTCAGTTCTAAAAACATGATTGTTAACTCATTTTAAGCATTAAATAAGAGTTATTCCTCTTCAGAAAGGCTGAAGAGTTAGTCTTACAGGTTTAGTCCTAAAATTACATGGCCACCCCATTACCATCCAAATTGAAATTTGACTGAAAATATTAATACTAGACAGCCTAATCATATACACTTATATTAGTGACATTAAGAAAATTTTGCTAATTGAATACAAAATGGCCAAATTTGAAAACTGATACTGCTTATAAAAATGTGTGGGTAATCTGCTTACCTGTCAGCAATACGCCCAACAAGATCAATACAATTCTCTTGTACTTTTTCATGTCTGTTCTTTAAGATGGGGGTGAGTCTAGGCAGCAGATCTTTAATTGGTGGAGTCATCTTATGCATACCTATTTAATAGAAGTCAATAAACTATCAACATTTGAATTGCAACTTTTGTTCACTTTCCTTTTACTTAGCGTCATATACGACTATGCATAAATATAAACTTACAGCTGCCTATGGAAAGAGAAAGCCGCGGATTCTGACCAGACTCAGAATCGTTTTTAACTTTTATTAACAATTTTTGATTATGTATAGAAATGAAAGAAATCAGTGAAGTGATTTAAAGAATGATGGATACTCAATAACAAAAAAGTTTTGTTTGGTTCTGAAATGTATTTGTGCACTGACATTTAAATATGGGGACAGCTTATGTTCCGGCCGTACACAACAATATAAGCCAGAGGTAAACATGTAAATAAAGCAAAAATTTCCAGAAAGGGCCCCCTTACCCTTTAACTGCAAAACAAACAGATCTCCAGTCTCCCTGCAATGCAGGGCATACTTGGATGGTATTTACACCTATGAAGAGAGAAAAAAGGAGGCAGCTGGCAGGGGCTCTTGCTCTAACTAGAATCACTTGCTCTGATTCTCTCTCCATTGCTCTTCCCATGCCTCTCTGACAAACAATATGGTTTAAAACTCCCTGCAAACCAGAGCCCTACAACTGGCCATGTAAATGATTTTTGGCAAGTGGCTATCTTCAAGTATAGCACTGGGCTGCATTGGAGATTATATGCAAATACAATAGTTTAAAAATGTATATTGCATAAATACCTCTTACAAAATAAGAAAAAACAGTGGCTCTCTCACAGTCAGCCATTTTGACTTCTGCTAGGTTATCAGAGCCTCTAAACTCTGCAGGAGTTACATTTGGCAACAGTTATAATCAATTTAAAAAAAAGATTAAATACAAGAAACCATTTGTTTTGTCATACTGCCCTAACAGAATAAAAACTTTGCTCTCCATATCCAAGACCATTTGTAATATAGCTGTGTTTTGGGTTAGAAAACTGAATGGACAGTATTGAAAACTTGAGTATGTAAATAAAGACAATAATTTGATCAGTTCACTTTTCTGATTATATTCCTTGAAACTGATGGCAAGTAAAAAACCTGTCATAATCACTAATTCAAGGTTTAAATATACACATATAGTTCTAAAACTGAATTAAAACTTTAGGTTTGCCTTTTCCCCCTCGCAGCAGAACATGGCAGAATATATTTCACCTGAAACACTATTTCTACTAGGGTCCTGTATTCCAAGACTTCAAAGCTTTTTGAGCTGTGACTACTCCCACCTCTCCTGTAGGTCCTAAACTTGCCCTTTTTTTCTCTTTAAAGTAAAATATAAATGGGTTTTGGGAAACAAAACTTTTGTGACATCCCCCGACTTAACTACAATCTTGAAGTGCTTTTAAAAAAGTAACAAAAACCTCCCAAATCCTAAATAAGACTTTACTTACAAAAAAAAAAAAAGAAAAAGAAAATTAAAACAAGAAAAAGTCTTATGTAACCAGCAAATTTCATACCTATGACATTTACAATGGCCTTCAGTGCTCCAAGAATGCTGCCCAATACTTCAGGGTACTCTTCACCCAAATACTCATACAACACAACACCCAAGTGTCCCATCAATTTTTCCTATAATAAAACAAATAATGTTAGAATGTTACTATTTACATTAAACTATTTGGTGAAGAAGTAATAATTTGAAAAAGAAGTTTACCTCTTGACAAGTCTTCATGACAACAGCAGTTCGAGAAATCAAGTCAGCTGCCTGCTGCCTAACTTTTGCAGATTTGTTATTTAAACGCCACAAAACTGTACCACAGATCTGAGGCAAGTATGGTTTGACTCGTTTGCCAAGAGCATTAACCACTGTGCCAAAGCCGTTCAACATTACTGAGTCCTAAAAAATAAATTTTAAAAAAAGACACATTCATTTGGTTTATGACTGCACAGCTGAAATATACTAATAGTCAACCTTTTCTAACCACCCAAACATCTGTGGTTGTTTTTTTACATCAAATCTTAAAACTTGAGGTAGAATAACATTTTTTGGTAACCGAGTGAGCATATTAAAAATTACTTCAAATTCAATTGCATTCTAGAAAAATTTGCTTGACAACGAATACGTTTTTCTACAAATATTAAAGTCAGTAGCAATGTGCCATAATTAGTTATCATTACCTCTGTAGTCTGTTCTTGGAAAGCATAAAGAATACCATCAATCAATTGTTCTTCAAGTTTATGATCAATATCTGCTGCTCCCAAGTTGCCCATAATTTTCTCAATTGTCTCCATCACCATTTTTCTGTACTGTTCAGCTTCATCTTTCAGATCATCCACAATCCTGGATATAATTTCTGCTGCACCTACTTTGTTTGCCAACTCCACAGTAGTATCAACTAACTAAAAAGAACAGAAAAAAAACGTTTTAGACTGCTTTTCCAAGGACATAAAACATCATGAAAACCAAATACACTAAATACACTACTTATTTAGCTAATGAACATAAGAATGACTCACTGCTATTTATTAAAGTTGAAGAGAAAAGTGACCAAACATAGAAAAATGAGTGTAAGTTAACATGATTCAAGGTAAAACTGTGTCCATGTTTCATCTAGCCAGATAAAGCACTGAATTTACCACACAAAAACATCAATTCACAGTTGGGTATTAATCCTTGAATCCAAAATCAAAATGGAAGTTAACTGGCTGACTAAAATCCATCTCCTCACAGTTGAGTATTAATCCTTGAATCCAAAATCAAAATGGAAGTTAGCTGACTAAAATCCATCTCCTTTCATAATCAAGCACATATAAACTGTGAGATAATTAAGATAAAAAATAATATGCATTCAAGTCGACTAAAGAATAAGTCAAAAGGATTTTTGAGAATATTCTTTTAAAATAAAAGCTTACCTGTCGGTAATTTCTTCTATCCAAAGCCATCCTGTGCTGCCAGAAGTGTTTAAAAAAGGGAGGAAGAATCTCTGTTTTAATGTAGTTTGCTTCTACACCATCTGTCCCACAACACTGTTTTACCACCTAAAAGGTTAAAAAACAGTAATAATAAATTAACTGACTTGAAATGAACAGACTACTCATTGCTGATTACGTAATTTTAAAAAATAAAATTTAAAAACAAATGAAACAGTACTGGTGTAACATACAGTTTTTTTGTTGTTTTTAAAAAACACTTGAAAATTATCTTAGAACCATGAAACAAATCCAGTTTACATTAACAAATCTGGAATAATTACCTTCAGCACAATCTTCTTCATTTCCTCATCAGGAGATTGGAATTCTCGAATAAGGATTAACATCACTTCTCTAGTATAGTAGTTGGCATATTCTGCATCCATAAGAGGAATAAGATACCCAATAGCCTTCAAGAAAGCAGCCAAACCCTATTTTTAAATAAAAATATATGTACTTTAGTAATTTAGATTTTTGTCACCTTAACTTTAATGAAGATAAATCAAAAGGTAATTGGTGGATTTACCTTTCCTCTGTGTTGGCGGATACCCTTCCATAAAGGCTTTAACACAGAATCAAAAGATTCGATACCATAAGGAGTTGCTGCTTCAGCCAAGGCAGCAATGGCCAAAGCACTGATGGTCCGAACTTTCTGCTGCTCATCCACAAGACCTACAAAACCAAACACAGGTTTTAACTATGCCCCAACATTACCTAAGTCACACAATGTCATCCAGATTCTCGCAATATATCAACTATTTAGCCAAACTACAGAATACGTTCACATTAAAATTAGGTAAAAGCAAAATATGAACCATAGCCTGTTAGCAGATAATATTACAAACCCATCATAAAATCTATAGTTTGTACAGTTATGCCTTTCCATTTATCTCCCCAAATCAGTAGCCCAAATTTTAGGACAGCTGTCTATTAAAAGTAGACAGGCTGTGTGTGTACCTCTAGTCCCAACTACTCAAAAGGCTGAGCAGGAGGATCACTTGAGCCCAAAAGTTTGAGTCCAGTATGGGCAACATAGTAAGACCCTGTCTCTTAAAGAGAAAAAAAAAAAAAACAACAAAGTTACATTACAACTTACCATGTTCAATGATTTCAACTAAACTTCTAAGATGTGGCAAGATGGCACAGCCCATAAGAATAGCTATCTGTTGTACAATCTTAATACCAGTGTGTCTCGCTTGCCAGGACTTCTTGCTTTTGCACACAGCTTTTAAGAAAGGCAATAAAGAAGGAATGCCCAGGGCAGAGGCTACAACAGCAAAAGCTCTAGCTGTTGTGTTACGGACATACTCATCCATGTTATCTATATCAGGTCTCATGGTAGAGATCATAGTAGCCAGACCAGCAGCCTAAAAAGTAAACAAAGAAAGGACAGTCATGAGTTGGTAATATTAATCTTCAACCATTTCCTTCCATAATCAAATAATTCCATAAACAGAAATAAATTGTCTTCTCTAGAAATTAAATGTAAATACCTTTGCCAAATTAGAAATGATCTCTCGGCCTTCCACTCTAGCATAGTAATCTTCATCAATCAATAGTGGTTCAATGACCACAAGGATCTGAAAAAGAGAAAAAAGAGAAGCAGCTACACTTTCACATCAATTACTGATGAAATACTCATGTACAGAATTAAACATATACAAGAAATTTAGAATTATCAGGATTTTCGTTAATCAAGGGACAAACTGTTTAAGAATTTTAATTACACAAGTTCAAACTCCAGATAGAGATGAAAATTTAAGAGAACTATTAGTGACACACTAATATTCAATATTTTTTAAAGAAATAACTTATATGCCCTATGAACATACTGCACCATAATTACCATCGGTGAAAAAACTGGTTCTTAATACTAGCTGGCACAGTACAGAATCACATATGTTCTCATCCTAATCTAATCTCAATAAAAGCAAATGAAAAAATTAAATAATATGAACGTCTTATGGCAAAGATAACAAAAACTAATATCTGTACATCTGTATAAAACTGTATTTGTACATGTATGATGTGTACTTGTGCAAAGAAAAAGGTCTAGAGGGATATGTAAATTTAACATTGATTAACTGAAAAAGTTAAAATATTAAAACTATCAGAAACACTATTAAGAACAAACCTTATGCACATATGGACGAACTAAGTCATCAAGTTTGTATAGTATCCTATCAATAACTTTCACAAGTAAATGACGCTCTTGATCCTCAAGTGTAGGAGACATCAGTAGAGGAAGAATCTGATTAAACAAAGGACCAGCTCCAAATTCACGAGCTTTATCAGTAATCTGACGCAATGCAGCCTGGGAAAAAGAGCAGAGTAATAGGTGTGGTTTCTTTACAATCAAGCATTTTGAATGAGCAAATTACTTGAAGATTTTCCATAATTTAATATGTGTTTACTTTTACACACATTTTACACAGACAGCATTGAGTGCATTTCCATCCAAATTACTCTGGAATTTCAACTACTGAAATAGAAATTTTATGTTAATTCAAAAGAGTAATTTAATAGAACAAAAGAACCACAGAGGTATGTACCAAATTAGCCTTCACTTCCCCTAAAGTATCTTCCATTTCCAAGGCACATATAGTGTTAATATAATCCCTCACTAATTTCACTAATTATCTTCAAGCTTTAAGCATATTTTAAAGGCCTTGAGAAATGGAGAATCTCGTGTTTCAGCATCTTTATTAGCTTTTTTAACCAAAGAATTCTGTGCTAACTCCAGCTGGGCATGGTGGCTCACACCTGTAATCCCAACACTTTGGGAGACTGAGGCAGGAGGATCTCTTGAGCCCTGGAGTATTTAAATAATAAAAACAAACGGCTGGGCATGGTGGCTCACGCCTATAATCCCAGCACTTTGGGAGGCTGAGGCAGGTTAATCATTTGAGGTCAGGAGTTCAAGACCAGCCTGGCCAACATGGTGAAACCCCGTCTCTACTAAAAATACAGAAATTAGCAGGGCGTGGTGGTGCACGCCTGTAGTCCCACCTACTTGGGAGGCTGAGGCAGGAGAATTGCTTGAACCCAACAGGCAGAGGTTGCAGTGAGCCAAGACTGTACCACTGCACTCCAGCCCAGGCAAGACAGCAAGACCCTGTCTCAAACATATATATATAATATTAATAACAAAAACAAGCAAAAAAGTTAAATCGTTCACACTACATAAATTTTTTTCCATCATGCTACGTCCTTGATAAAGATGAAGAAAGTAATTATAAATTCCTAAACACAAAAATATAACACTATCAAAAGCTAACTTTTTTGTGGGGAAAGCTTTCTAAATAACCTTTACCAATTTGGGCTACTTGGAAGAGTAAAGGAAAGACCACACTCCAGCGGGTTATACCAATAGTTCAGTACTATTTTGTGGCCTACATTTCCTGGTGAAAAAATTAAAAACATTTTTAAAAATATAAACTTGGCCAGGTGCAGTGCCTCACACCTGTAATCCCAGCACTCTAGGAGGTAGGCCAAGGCAGAAGGATCACTTGAGACCAGCCTAGGCAACATGGCAAAACCCTGTCTCTACAAAAATTACAAAATTTTTTTTTAATTAAATAAATAAGCAACAAACATGACAATTTAACAAACTGAGACTTACCTTTCTCATTGGTGGTGTTCCATTCTTAATTTTTAAAAGCAACTTCATTATTTTTCTCTCTTTTTGCTCTTCTGGACTAAGTGTTGATTCATCAACATCAACCTACAGTAAAAAGAAAAAAATGTTAAGGGAAGTTGAAATGTTATGATTTATAATTCTGGAACAAAATTAATAGTTTATTTCTGCTAGTATCACTTACCAATAGTTTATCAAAGTACTGAATATCATCAGGCTTTAAAAATGGAAGATTTCCAGACGGCTGATCATTAACACTTTTCATAGTTCTATCTTCAGTTTGCATGTGGAAACCAGTCATACCACCCAAAGGTGTTGGAGTAGCTGTCAGTTTTCGAGCTGGAGTTCGAATAGGAACATAACCAGCTGGAGGAGGAAGTACCTAATAAAAGTTATAAGACAGTTTAGGATTTTCTTAACTTAAAAAACAGCATAAGAATCAATATTTGCACTTAAAATATTTTAGTTTATTAGCTAATAAGATTTTCATTTGCTTGGAGACAACATCTATCTTGCTTTTCTATCTTAATTAGAAACCTAAAATATCTGCTGCTCATCTGCTGATTATATCAGTGGTGTAGGGAACTGAGGAAATACAAGAGAAGAGCTTAGAAAATACCGATCACGTTCAAACATGTTGTGGGTCAAAATGTCAAATTATTAAAAATTTGAAAATTATAAAATCTGAGTCAGCAATTCCAAAAAACTGCTCTAGTTGAGCAAATAACATTTCATAAGTATTTATATAAAATGGAAATAAGCTCATATGGGGCATATAACATAAAAAGTTTTATTTTAGTATTAAAATATCACATAAATTCCTGTACTATAAAATCTTTTAAGTGTAAAACTCTACAAAAAATTAGTTAAATGCATAAAAACTAAAACCAAAATGTTTGCCAAAGCCCTGTAAAATACACACCACCTGATCAAACCTTTTGCAAAACAAGTAAAATTTCAAAAAATGCAGGCTGAAAATCACACAGAATTTTTTTTTTTTTTTTTTTAAAGCTGGTAACAGACTTAAAAAAAAAAACAAAACACAACTTCTGGGCAGGCCAGGTGTGGTGTCTCACGCCTGTAATCCCAGCACTTTGGGAGGCTGAGATGGGAGGAACGCTTGAGCCCAGGAGTTTGAGACCAGCCTGGGCAACACGGCAAGACCCCATCTCTATTTTATATAATTTAATATATAGTAAAAGAAAAAAAATACAGCTTCCTGGGGATATCGATAAACCTATACATGTCTTCTCCAGTGAGCCTAAAATTGTTGTCTATTAAAGATTAAATTATGTTAAATTTACATTGATGCTATCTGTACTTTGTACAGATATTTTTTGTTGCTAGTTAATGTCTGCACCAGCAGACCACTAGCAATTTGGATAAAGTGGATACTGTATAGACGTGAGACCTAAGGAAATCAATGTCAAGTCCACAGGCATCACTTGCCATTACGGATTTAAAGGTCTACTATATTTTTACATTCACTAGTAAGGATGTTGCTTATTAGTAGGATTCACTAAGGGAGACTTTTCCTCCTAATGACTCTAAGGAAATCAATGACTACGACTGAGAAAGACACTCAGGCAGTCAACAGTAAGTTGTATCTATACCCACAGCATTGTGTGGAGGCTACGAAAAGCTTTAAGGCAAAACTTCATGCAAACTTGAAACAAATACTCTAACATAAATAACAGGGATCAAAAACAAAACAAGGCTGGACACAGTGGCTCATGCCTACAATCCCAGCAGTTTGGGAGGTCAATGTGGGAGGATACTTTGAGCCTAGGAGTTTGAGACCAGCCTGGCAACACAGTGAGACACCGTATCTACAAAAAATAAAAAAATTAGCCAGGTATGGTGGTGCATGCCCGTAGCCCCAGCTACTCAGGAGGCTGAGGCAGAAGGATCACTTGAGCCCAGGAGATCAAGGCTGCAGCGAGCTATGTCAGCGCCACTGCTCTCCAGCCTGGGCAACACAGTGAGACCTTGTCTCTAAAACAAAACAAAATAAAACAAAAAACATATGCATGAACTGTTAAAAATCAATAGTCATTAACAGAAAAAGCTCTGTAAAGGCCATCAGATGACTTACAAAGTTATCTGGTTCCCCTTGGTTATGATGTCAGCTATATGACCACAGGCTATCTTCAGACTAACAAATACTCCCTGAGTACGAGGTACCTAGAAAATTTTATAGTTCAAAATAAATTTTAGGTTGACATGGTAAAAAGAAGGCTGGGCACGGTAACTCACACCTGTAATCCCAGCACTTTGGGAGGCTGAAAGGGATGGATCACTTGAGGTCAGGAGTTCAAGACCAGCCTGGCCAACATGGTGAAACCCTGTCTCTATTAGAAATACAAAAATCAGTCGGGCGTAGTGGTAGGCGCCTATAATCCCAGCTACTCGGGAGACTGAGGCAAGAGAATCGCTTGAACCTGGGAGGCAGAGGTTGCAATGAGCTGAAATCACGCCACTGCACTCCAACCCGGTGACAGAATGAGACTCCATCTTAAAAAAAAAAAAAGAATATTCTTTGTGTCCACTGACAATCCATAAACTTAAGTATACAAAATCTTGGTGAAGCACCAAGTAAAATAACCACAATCTAAATAAGCTTATTCCTGGGACTGCTAGAAAACTGAAGCACCAGCAGTTCTCAAAGTATAACCAATAGACCTGTATACAAGTCCTCCAGATGTCTTTCAAATAGTAATAGAATCATGTTGTTCATTTCTTTTCATCTCTATTTGGAACTGAAATATACCTGGAAATAGCTAAGAGAATGGAATGACAATAGTGAATTTGGGCAAAGCCAATGCAAGTTCGATCAATTTTTTTCACTATTTAAAATAAAGGCATATCCTAAATACATCATATTTGATGTACTACCTTATATCCTTCTGGGAACATAGCATCTAATTCCTCATCAGAAAGTGGGCGATTTCTCTCATCAATTTCTCTTTCCCATCGCCAAGCCTGAAGCTGTTCAGGAGTCATACTCATTATGTGACCTACCAAGAAAAGCAAAGTTTTATATACTCTATAGTGCAAGACTGTATTATTACATATACCTTTGCGATAAAAGAGAATTAAGATCAAGCCTATTATTTATTTTGCTTTTACATTATAAATGCAAACCAAGACTTAAATTTTTATATCTCTTTATTCTTGCTAGAAGTTGACATTAATAGCACACAGAATACCACAAAGAAAAAAAATTAAATAATTTATGGAGAAAAAAACAATTATTTCCAATGAGAGAGAGAGTTCTACCTGGAGTAGGGGTAGCCATGTTCATGGCTGGTGTGCCAATTGGTGTTTTTCCAGGGGTCAGAACTGGAGTGCTTCCACCCATCTGACTAGCTGGTGTTTCATCCCACCGTGATTTTCTTTTACTGGCTCCAGGAGTCGGTGTTTCACCAATAGAATCTCCACCTCGATCCGTTCGAGGAGTCTCAGCCCATCCACTTCCATGCCCAGGAGTGTCTTTAAAAAGAAAGAGTGAGTAAAAACACAATTTTAATTCCTGTTAAAATAATATTCTTTATTCTCAAACAGTTATACTCAAAACTATCAAGTTCTAAAACAGAATATTCCTAAAATGGTGACCCATTTAAAGTTGTTTGAGACCAGCCTGACCAACATGGTGAAACTCCGTCTCTACGAAAAATACAAAAATTAGCCAGGTGTGGTGGTGGATGCCTGTAATCCCAGCTACTCAGGAAGCTGAGGCAAAAGAATCTCTTGAACCTGGCTGGGCACGGTGGCTCACACCTGTAATCCCAGCACTTTGGGAGGCCAAGGCGGGTGGATCACAAGGTCAGGAGATCGAGACCATCCTGGCCAACATGGTGAAACCCTGTCTCTACTAAAAATACAAAAAAATTAGCCGGGCGTGGTGGCGGACGCCTGTAGTCCCAGTTATTTGGGAGGCTGAGGCAGGAGAATGGTGTGAACCCGGGAGGCGGAAGTTGCAGTGAGCAGAGATTGCGCCACTGCACTCCAGTTTGGGCGACAGAGCGAGACTCCATCTCAAAAAAAGAAAAAAAAAAGAATCTCTTGAATCCGGAAGGCAGAGGTTGCAGTGAGGTGAGAGCGCACCACTGCACTCTAGCTCGGGTGACAGAGTGAGACTCTGTCTTAACAAGAGCAACAAAAAAGTAAATTTGATGTTAGGTACATTTTTCCATAATAAAAAACAAAAGGTAAGCCAGGCACAATGGTTCATGCCTGTAATCCCAACACTGGCAGGAGATCACCTGAAGCCAGGAGTTCAAGACCAGGCCAGGCAAAAAAGCAAAACACTGTCTCTACAAAAAATTTAAAAAGTAGCCGGGGACTGGGCACGGTGGCTCACGCCTATAATCCCAGCACTTCAGCAGGCCGAGGGGGGCGGATCATCGGAGGTCCAGAGTTCAAGACCCGCCTGAGCAGCATGGAGAAACCCCGTCTCTGAGGCTGCAGTAAGCTGAGATCGCGCCATTGCATTCCAGCCTGGGCAGTAAGAGCAAAACTCTGTCTCCAAAAAAAAAAAAAAAAAAAAATTAGCCAGGCATGGTGGCATGCCTCTATAGTCTCAGCTACTCAGAAGGCTGAGGCGGGAAGATCGCTTGAGCCTAGGATGTCAAGGCTACAGTGAGCAAGACCCTGTCTCTAAAGAAACCAACAAAATCAAAGGTTACGGCCTACTAACTTTACTTTAGCCTAAGGTTCTTCCTTAAATCTTAAACCTCTTCAAGAAGTAAAAAAAAAGCCGGGCGCAGTGGCTCAAGCCTGTAATCCCAGCACTTTAGGAGGCCGAGACGGGCAGATCACGAGGTCAGGAGATCGAGACCATCCTGGCTAACACGGTGAAACCCCGTCTCTA